TAAAATATAACAAAATATGATAAAATATGTGATAAAATATAATTTATTATTAAAAAAATAAATAATTAATATTTATTTAATAAAAACCGAAACCGAACCGAATTCATTGATAAAATTCGGTAACCAAACCGATTAGCTTATAACAATTTTGGTTCGGTTTCGGTTTGTAAAATTAAAACCGAATTTTTTTCGGTTAATTGAAAATCGGTTTCGGTTTTAACCGAAACCGGTTTTTGCCCACCCCTACTCACACCTTTCCCTTAAAAAAAAAACAAAAAAAACACTCTTTGCTGAGTAAATGTAAAGTGGTACCAAAAGAGGACAGCTTGAGGAATGCCAAATGATTGGGTTCCTTGGTGATGGAGCCTCAAGCTGCACCAGGGAGTGCCACATGGTACCTTAGGTCTTCATCTACACTGTAGATGAAGACCTGAGCCTCTACACTTTTAACGACATTCCACGGTCCCCAAGCTATTATGACCACACGAGCACTAAGATTGGCTTGCCAAATGGGGACAAAATCCTATGGTCCAAAATCCTTTCATTTTTGTTTAAAAATTTAATTATTATAGTCTTGAATATTCTGTTGATAAACATTCTCTTCATAAAATAATATATTTTTTATTAAAAAAGGATTAAGCATATATTAAAAGTATATAAAAATTAATATAATGTTATAATATATTTAAGTTGAAAATAAAAGAGGGTGAGGAGAAAAATTTTATCTCTTTATTGCTCTTTATTCTCCCTCCTTTAATTTTTTTTATTTAGGTGATTAAATAAATTTAAAAAATAAAAAATTCTTTTTCTTTTAATTCTCTTAATAATTAAATAAAAAAACTTTTCTTTTTTCTCCCTCTTTTTTATATTCTTTTAAATCCAAATATATTATTAGTATTACTAATAAATGAATAAATTTAATTTAAATAATTGATAAATAAAAAATAAATCTTTAATTTTTTAATATAAATTTATTAAAACTATATATTTATTACGCAGAAGACATGTTAAAAACAAGTCAAAAAATTTTAGAGAGGACTCATACGAAAATATTGTATGACAAATTGACCCAAAAAAACCTGTAATAAAGAGCATAGCATTGGCCTGAAAAAGTTGAGGTAATGCTCACACTCTGCGCACCATCCATCTGCAATTTCCTTTTAATTTCGTCATCCCATCCAATCTCATTAGTATGCCAATGCTGGAGTTTTAGCAGCGATCCTGTGGCTCTCTCTTTGGAGGTCACCGCCATCCCTGCAATGGCCTTACAGCGCCGCCGCCTCCTCGTCCGCTCTCTGCTTCCCGTTATTTCCGCAATCTCCGGTGCTGTTCTCTTCCTCTTCGCTCTCCTTTCCTTTCTCGTTCCTACGCCCATGGATTCGGATCAGTTCCACCTGAGAACTTCACCAGATACATTCTTTTGTGTGCCAGGTGCATAATCCGACGGTTCCTGCTCAGATGGGACCCATTTAGCAGGAGTAAAATAACTTATACAACATAGTGTTGCCAACCATGTAGGTATTGCAGTCATCATTATGAAAAATAAACATTGACCAGTAACTCACAAGAAGAGGAACACATTGACAAAATTCCAAAATGGAGAATAAGTTTTTTTCCCATAAAAATACAATATGCAGCCAATTTTAGTAAACTAACAATAGATTACAATTGATAAAAGCAAAGCTTACATGAATTTCATCAAAGAATCAAAGGAACTTGCAAATTTGATTTGATTAGGGTCAAAGAGCATGAAATATGAAAGATGATAAGATGCAAGCATGCATTGGATGGCACATTCATGACTGGTGATACGATTATCCAAGACAATATTGTGCCTTTATATTAAATTCTCTCCAGACAAGAATGACCTGCAAGACAAATTGGGAACGGTATAGACTATATGATTTTCGGGATTATGTTAATCTTTCCCAACGTGTTAAGGACTGACTTTTTGATTTTTCTCAGGGATAATGAAATGTGTATTCAATGGGGTCCTTCAGCAGCATGACACCGTATGCTTGAGCATATACAAGCGTTCATATCCCAAGTGGCCAGAACATCGGTTCCCGCTTGATGCTTTATCAGGCAGGGGCTAGTCCTCATCGAGACAAAAGACATGCTTGTTTATGATGGGAATGCGCTGGTTCAGATTTGTCTATTCAACTTCCATTGGTTGTTGTTGTTGATAGATTACATGCAATTCAGTGAAGTAAGCCTTTTTGCTTTCCATTATCTTTGTTTTCTTATTTATGAAGGATATATATGGATGAGGAATATGCAGCAATGCAGCGCTCCTGTCGTTAAGAATCTAGTGGGAAGAAACAGAAAAAGAAAAGCCTGATTTTTGTATTTTGATATCAGTTTTTCTTTTTCTAGTGCGAATACAAAGAGAGAAAAAGAAGGAAAAGTCCTTACTTGTTCTTTGATATATTTTTTCCGAGATAAGACATTTACATAAATTTTCGTTATAATTAAAAAAAAAAAAGAAAACCTAAAAAATTAATAGTTATAAATATTCGTTTTTTTTAAAATTAGTTAAAGAAATTAATTACAAATGTGAAGTTATATATCTATAAAAGAAAAGATAAAAAATTTAATGTCAAAAGGGAATTTTTATCTGTATGTTGGATGATGGGTACACAACAGAGCTAATGATACTCTAATTAAAACCAAGATTTAAGATGTATTTATAATAACCATTGATCATGTTTTGTTAGATTCATACGAACTAGGGGTGGGCAAAACCGGTTTTTGGTTAAAATTGAAACCGATTTTAAAATAATCAAATTTTTTTTTTTTTTAATTTTGAGAACCAAAACCCAACCAAAATTATTAAAAATGGATTGGTTCAGTTATCAATAAAATCAGTTCGGTTTTAGTTTTTAATAAATAAATAATAATCAATTATTTTTTTAATAATATATTATATTTTATCACATATTTTATCATATTTATCATAATTTCAGTTTTTAAGTGGCTTATTTTCAGTTTTTGGCTTTTAAAAAGATCAACTGAAACCAAACCAAAATATATTCGGTTAATATTAAAATCGAAAAAATAAAAACCAAAAACCATTAAAACCGAACCAAATTTATTTTTTCGATTCGGTTTTCGGTAACATATCGGTTCGGTTTCAAATTGCCCAGCCCCAATAGGAACCATCCATGGGTCAAAAAATTTTAGGTTAAATTCCTACTTTGTTCCCTTGACTCTGAGTTTGGGACTGAGTTGGTACTTAAACTTCCAAAACTACCAAAATCATCCTTAATCTATAATTTTCAGCCGACATGGATTGTTAAGTGACCCAAAAAGGCAAAATTTTAAACCTAAAATATTACACGGAAATTCTAAAATTATTTTAGTAATGAGGGGGATATTTTAAAACTAAATTTTTCTTTGTTGAAAGGACTTCTTAATGTGTTTTTTTTTTACAAATTTTGATAGTATATTAATTAAAGAATTACCAATTAATTTAAATATGGTGGGACTCATCCACTTTAATAATAACTCTTTTTTTTATCCTGATAATTGGAGTAGTATTAATTACCTTACTCTATTATCCTTTTAAAATACAGTTAACCTTATTCTATTACATTATACTTTTGAAAATAACATTATCTTAACTATTGTTTCTTAAGAAACAAATTTAATATAATGGGACCCACTCTAAATTTATCTTCTCTTCTTCCTCCCCTTCCCCAACATCTTTCTCACTTCGGGCATCTCCCTCCCTTCTCAAGCATTATCACAAGTCATGAAGTCATTCCAATTTCATGATGAAATTTGAATCTCTTTTCCATAGGAAAACACAATTTCTCTAGATTTGATTTTTCAAAACAACTTACGTAGTCGTAATGTAAGACATGTAGGTTAGGTTGTATAGAATCCAATTTTATTAGTATGTACAAATTAGATGGAAAACAACCATTCTCCTTAAATTAAAATAAGATAGAAGTGTGTCATTTTGATATTTATATAAAAAAAGACCAACAGCAACAAATTCAAATGAACAAAACACAAATGACTAAAAAATTACAAATGATTGGTTGATTTAAATAAGGACACTAGATACAAACATATACTTGAAAAGAGAATGACACAAGACTATAAAATTTTCCATGTAGCTAAGTACTTACTATGATTTAAGCTTGTGCATAACATTTTCATCTTTGTAGTTGTTGATGATATGTTGTTCTAGACAGTTTGATCCAAGATATGACATCTGGAACAATGTAAATTAAAACCATCACCATCCACCACTGAGCTTTAAATTCAATTTTGTTGAGCAGTAGTGACAAATCTTTGGGAAATGACATACGAAACTGAACCCACCAAAGCACATAATGGGTTACCATAACCAGCCATTCTCTATAGTACACTCGGTGTTCGAAACCAGCCAACACCACAATACCATATTTGGCAACAGATTGAATAGCCCAAATTTTGTCTTTGATTCCTCTTGTATTTGCAAAAGGCGGAAACATATCTTTGGGAAAAAAGCTTCGTAACCAAAAACAGAAAATGACATAACTAATTACTGCAAATAACCAATCTTTATAATTGGCCATGGGAGATGTGATAAGAGCAAACTTGAACATGCCATGTGCAATATTTACAACCATCAAAATCACACCATTGATCTCTTTGGTATTTGTAGAGGGGATTGAGCTATCTTTGGAATTATGATAGAACTTATAGATACTTCGAAGCACAATATCGATTGCCTTAAGTAACCAGTTTTTATAGTCGGATAAGGGAGATTTGAAATTAGAAGCCATGAAGATACTATGTGTAAAATATATAGCAGTTGATGAAAAAATGAAAAACACACTAGCACCTTCAGTTATGGTATTTGTACCAGGATCTTCTTCCAAATCCAACCAATACTTATCTAACCAGCTCTTGAAACTAAACAACGCAAAACAGATGGAAGCAATTATCCATGTGGGAAACTTCAACTCATAGCGGTTGTAAGTAATAGATCCAATGACTCCAATGACAAAGCTAAACAACCCAAGGTCTGTTTGTGGTCGTAATACCACTAGTACACATAGAAGAAAAACTGAGATGCACAACATAGCACTGAGGCCCGTCAAGGAATTATCATAAAATTTTGCAAAAAGAAGTGCTATAACAAAGAAGATGAAGTTTGATGTTGAATTTACCATGCAACTGCACCTTCCATGAAGAATTTTAAGTTGACTCCAACGCTTTGAATGTGTTAACGGGCCAAGGCCAATAAGCATCAATAACTGCATTTTGACTCCTCTTCTATCATATTTAGAACTTAACTCTGTATTCAGTAGAAGAAACATGGCGGAGAACAAGGCAAGTTTACGGACCAGTTTGGCCTTTATTTGATCCTTTGCCACTTCATTGTGGAGATGCAACTCAAGGGCTTTTGATAGATTCTTCATCTTCTCAATAATAGGATCAAGCAGAGATCTCATTGTCGATTGGAGATACACCTTGAGGGCTTTCCATTGATTGCTCACCTCCTCTTCAATCCAAATCTGCAAAAGTATTACTCGATAGATAAGACTGGTTATTATCAATAATGGATGAAACTTGATAACCATCCTCACAATCCATGGCACTGCAATTGAATCTCTCATATCTTCCATTTGGGAGAAAGGTGAGAAAGAACTGGTAGCACATATGGTTATTATAATGAATTAATTCTACAGTGTAAAATAAAAGTTTGTTTCCCCAATATGAACTGGTGTAAAAATAATTCGTTGATCATATCTTTTTTTTTTTTTTTTTGATAAGGGCAATGGTTAGTAGGTTAGTATTGTTAGATGTTAACAATTGGGGATTCGATCCCCAGACCAGACGAACAACCCACTTGCCTCAAATGAGGCGCGCGGCCATTGGGCCGCTTAGTGGAGTTCATTCGTTGATCATATCTATTAGTCGAAGGGTTAGGTGGAGACATTGAATAGTATTGAAATGTGAATTGGTTCTTCCTTGAGTGGGACTTGTGCAGTGGACCCTTCATGAACTTGCATTAGCACTACTATTGGTATTGATCAATTTGGCGGCGTGCATGTTCAAGGTCATCATTTTCCGTGCTTCTTTTTTCTTTTTTTCTTTTTTCCTTTTTGAAAATAGGCAATGCATATGCATTGCTTCTGGGTCATTTGATGTGGGGAGCGGGGACTTCCGTTCACTTTGATTGGTATTGGCATCTGACCGTCGCTTTCCTTGCCATCGTCATTTTCTTCTCATTTGAATGTTGTCCACAAGTGGATGCTTTTGCAATTTTTTTTAATTTATAAAGTCTTTTTAATGAAAAGAATTTATAACTTTATCACATAGATTAAGAATATATTATATAATAAGTCAAATGATTGAATCCACTAACATATAAGTATTGTCTTGTAGGTTGCATTTAGAGTTCAAGTGTTTGGATCAACACTGAAAAATATTAATTTTTTTAATACACCAAACCAATGTGAATGATATGCCTTTAAAATTGCTTGAGAAAGGATTAATTTTAAAATACACAAAAATAATGTCTAATTAATTTTACTTTTATGAAAGTAAACAATAGTTTTAAAACTAATATTGTCTAAATATATCGTTTTATTCAAACATTTGATAAAATTAAAGAGATAGGAGATTTATCCAAAATTTTATTTTAAAATTTGATATGAAGAATTATTACTCATATAATATGAGATAACTCACCCTTGTCAAACCCCTCCTCCACCTATTTAGAATTTGAGAAAAAGAATTCTAACGTAAACATTCAAATTTCACCCAAAAAAATAATGATCAAATGTCCAAGTTTTTAACCACTGAAACATTTGCTAAAAATGTTCCTAATCTTTCATTTCCATTTGTTTGTACCCTAAATGTCTTTATTTCATTAAAAAAAGTGCCTATGTCATAACTAGACAACGTAAAGAATGGAGGGTATTATGGATTGGGATAGATGAAGGAGATAATTTTTCTCTATGGTTTCTATTAAAATGTCATCACAGTAATGCAATTCCTTCATCTTTATAGTTTTGGATTTCTAATTTGATTGTAAAAAGGTAATTTTTATGAAATGAAGTGCAAGATGATGATATTCAAATAGAAAAATGTAATTTGTCATCCACATCAATACCAACAAAAAGTGAACTTGAACAGCTTCTTAAATTATTTTATTCTTAAAAAAGTCGTTAAACAATATTAAGTAAATATTAATATGCTACATAGAACCTTCTTTATTTTTTCTTTGTTTTTCTTTATTTTTCCTCTATCCCCACATTTCTCTTTTTTTTAAAAAAATCAATGCTAGCAAAGAGCATCCAAAAAAAAAAAAATGAAATTAAAATTTTAAGATTAAATCTAACTTACTCAATTGAGATATTTTCTAGGTTTAAATTCTTAGAATAGTTGAGATCTATGAATGTCCATGCCAAAGCCAACAACCATGGTAGTTTTGGGAAGTTCAATGTGAGTCAATAATTATAATCGTATAAAGAGGTTTGTTGTATATATAATTGTAAGGAAATAAAAGTTAGAAGTATTTTCTGGAACCACTTTAAAGTTTTGGGCATAAACTTTGATTTACTTCTTTATTAATATTTAATAGCAATTAACTGAAAATTAAAAAATTACAAATAGTTGACAGTTCGGCCGACTGATCCAAGACGCCAGATTTAGGCTCTGGTCCAAATGGCATGGCTCATGGGTTCGAACTTCAAATCTCATTGCTGTCTATCAATGAATTTTCAGCCCATAAAAAATATGAATAAAAATTTATTTATTTATAAAATTTATATAAAAATTTAATTTTTTATTTTTTTATTTTTAATAATTAAAATTTATTATAATTTTTTTTTAAAAAATAATTAATTTTAGTAAATAAATTAAAAAATAAATTAAAAAATAAATGGTTTTAAATA